TAAGATGGTTGTACCAAGTGTCCGTTATTACCCTTACTCAGTTTTAACCCTATCTTTGAGCCTAAGGGGCTTTTGCAGTCTCGTGAAACAGCTTTTGCTTAAACAGGAACTGTTGTTGGAAAGGATTTACTTCTTAGCCTTTGAAAGGTGAAGACTCTGAATTTCAAGCTTTCTGAAGTAATACTGGTGACCATAAGCTGTTCTCTGAGTTGGCCAGGGCACTGTTGTACCCATGCTGATGGATTACAACCCGTGGCACATTACTGAGAATTGAGTGAGAGTTTTATCCTAATGTTTTCAGCAGTTCTCTTAGGTAGTTCATTGGAGGAGCGGGTGATATTATGACATGCCCTACTCTCCATCACAATGAGTGTTTTATGGAAAGTCACTCATGGAGGAAAATGCCTTCTTAAAGTATGCTAAGGTGATTTGTAGTTACTGTTTTACAGCTCTTCCTTTTTAGATATGCATGTATAGGAAACCAAAAGATTCACCTAGAGATCTATAAAGTTCCTTTGTTTTCATAGTGTTCTCATCTATGAATATAATCATGGCTAGTTCTAAAACAGTAAAAAGTAAGTATCTAAATTGCTTTGTACTTTGGCACTTTATTTGCATAGTTCAATGTGTCACAATCTGTAGATGTGGCCGCTGCTGCCCTGCCCTGCCTGACCTCCAGCTCAGAGGCATATCAGGACCAGGCCAGCTTCTAGCTCTCCTGCTAGAGCTAGAACTCCTTGTATATCCCTTTTCCTCTTGAAGGTATTTGTGATCCCCACCACTACCACACTCTGCTAGCTGCGCTAATCGCAAAGTCGGCAGTTCAGATCCACCAGCTGTCCTCAGAAACACTATACATGGTCACTAGAATCAGAACCAATTCGACAACACTCAACAACAGCAAGAAGATCTCAGGAAAAACAGAAACTTCTACTCATGGAGCCCCCAGCCCTCACAGGTGTCTTGTCTTGCTCAGTGTTTTCTGTGGGTCCCATTTGTTCTTACAATCGTCTATGAGATTGCTTTCAGATCTGTGAAGCTAGCAGATGAGAGTTTGGGGGCAGGAATCTCGCTGGCTCCTAATCCCATAATCTTTTGCACCAGCACCATGCCTTTTCTGTGTCTAAAACAGCAAATAATCTCACACCTCCAGTGTTCAGCCAGAGAACTGGAAAAGTGGAGAGTAGTATTGTTTTAGAGAAAGGATCAGATGTAACTATAAAATTGTTTTCTTAATTTCTTTTCAAGTAATTAGATGCTTACAGAAAAGTGGCAGAAGTAGTACAAAGCTACCCTTCATGCAGTCCTTACATGTTAACATTTTACTACATTTTCTCTTTTGTTCTTCTGAATAACTTGACATTTGTTGTTGTTAATTTCTGTTCCAATTCATAGCAACCCTGTAGAGGGTTTGAATCATTGACCTTGTGGTTATCAGTCCAGTTCTTATCCTATAGCGACTCACCAGGACCCCACTTTATTTATCTATTTTTCACTTGATTTATTTTTGTTATTGTTGTTGTTAGGTACTATTCAGTCAGTACCAACTCATAGTAACCCTATGCACAACAGAAAGAAACACTGCCAATTTCTGGGCCAGCATCACAATTATTGCTACTCATGAGTCCATTGATGCTGCCACTGTGCCAAGCCATCTCATTGGAGGGTCTTCCTCTTTTTTTTCCAACCCTCCACTTTACCAAACATGATATCCCTCTCCAGTGGCTGGTCCCTCCTGACAATATGTCCGAAGTATGAAAGACAAAGTCTGGCCATTCTGGCTTCTAAGGAGCACTTGAGCTGTCCTTCTTCCAACACAGATATTATTTGTTCTTTTGTTAGTCCATGGTACTTTCAGTATTCTCCTCCAACACTTAGAGTCACCTCTTTTTCTGTGCCTTAAGGTTTGAAAAAAATACAGATGGTGACTTAATTGGTATAAAATAGATTCTGACATAACACAAACCTAAAGGTCCAGGTCAGTGAGATCATTAGTATGACTTTTGATGTTTCACATATTTGCATGCCTAAATACTTCAGTGTGTATTTCCTAACCAACATATTATGCATGAACACAGTATATTAATGAAAAGCAGGAAATTAACACTGACCTAAAGTACTACTTTGGAGTGCTGGTGTTGGCTCTGTGGGTTAATGTGCCAGACTACAAAGCCATTTGAACTGCAAGGTTGGTGGTTCAAGCTCACCAGCTGCTCCTCGGAAACCCTACACAGGGTCACTAGGGGTTGGAACTGACTCTATGGCACTTAACAACAACAAAGTACTTCTTTGTGGTCATGGTGTGGCGCTGGAATATAAGCACGGGACTGCCAACCGCTAAATTGGTGGTTCAAATCCAGCAGCTACTTCTCAGAAACGCTATACAGGGTCGCTATGAGTCAGAACCAACTCTGCACCACTTGCCAACAAGTACTAATCTATAGACCATATTCAGATTCGGCCAGTTGTCTCACTAATGTCTTTTTTGTAGCAAAGGTATCGCCCCTCCCCCCACCCTCCAGGTTCAGGGTAAATCCAGGATAATTTCGGGTACTCAAGTGCCTTTTCTCTTCTTTAACCTGGAAAGAGTTCATTTCTCAGTCTGTGACCATGAAAGTTTTGAAAAGTATAGTCAATTCATTTTAGAGGTTACCTCTCAGTTTGGGTTTGTCTGGTATTTTCCCTTGATTCAATACTGACTATGCATTTGGAGGCAGGGAAAGCACCCAAGAGATGCTGCTTTTTCTCAATGCATCCTATCAGGAGGCTCCTGGTGTTGGGGATGCCCCATTCCTGGGGTGGTAAAGTGCATAGACTTTGATGGACTCTGCCTGATTTTTCCCCTTTGTTGAGTCTCCATTTTCCCTGTAGTGATGGATACTAAGTATTTTGTGGAGAGAGATTTTGATATTATGTAAATATTTGCTTCTCTTCCAAACCTGTAGTTACTAGTTTGGATATTGATGATTCTGGCTTGAGATCATTATTACTGTGTTGGTTGCCAAGTAAGTTTAGTTTGGCTTCATATTAGAATTTGTCATTTATGGCCAAGCCTGGTAGTGTTATCCATACATTTACGTGGAAGATGCTTGTTTTAAGTTCATGCTCTGCAAAGTATGAACTTTGCCACATTACCAATTTAGTAGAAAATGAAGGAAAAAGCTTTCATTTGTGACCATCCTTCCGAGTCTTCAAGGAGTCCTAGTGGCAAAGTCGGTTATGAGTTGGGCTGCAAACCACAAGGTCAGCAGTTTGAATCTACCAAACACTTCTTGGAAGAAAGATGAAGCTTTGTGCTCCCATAAAGATTTATAGTCTCGGAAACCCTATGCAGGGTCAGACTCCATAGCACACAACCACTACCATCTCTCAGTTGTATCGGGGTATGGTGGCATTTATTGTTGCTTGTGTCTATCTTTATTCACCACGGCTTGTGTCTTTCCTCCACGGGTGCAGACGTTTACTTAGAGCCCAAATGACACTTGCTTGTTTTAAAATCATTTTTTAAAGTTAAAAAAAAAAAAAACAACCCATGGCCATTGAGTTGAGTCTGACTCACAGTGACACAGTATAGGGTTTCCAAGGCTGTAAAAAAAAAAAATTTTTTTTTTTAAGTAGTTTAAACTTTTTATTTATTTTTTTTTATTGTGAATTGAGTGAAGGTTTACCGACAAGATTATCACCTTTACATTCAATGTATCATATTCTTTATTTCATCTCAATGTGTAATGTCCTCCATGCAACAACAGTTATGAGAGCAGAAAGCCCCATCTTGAACTGCTGACCTTGCAGTTAGCAAGCCCTCTGCTTATCATACAGCAGCACCAGTGCTCCTTTTTAAAAGAAAAGGTGCTCTAAAAATTAAGGAGGGAAACAAGTTGTAGCTATGATTCAGTGGTGGTTTAGTGATGGTTTACTTATCAAAGAAAATCAATGACTTTTGGTTTTGATCCTCAGGACAGGGGAAAAGAGGTGACTCAGAAGAAAAGTTGAGAAAGATTGCTAGCAGTCACTGGGCTATCATTAATTTCCCAGCTCACAAACTAAACTTTTCCCTCATGGGTCTCCTCTAAGCCAGTTCCCCAACATGAGTGGGGAATATCCACCTCGTGGGCAGTGTAAGGCCTGTGATATCATTTGTTCTGGCCCTGCCAAGGCAACTGCAATTCCAGCCATCACATTTGGTGTTGTTGTTAACTGCTGTCCAGTCTTTTCTGACTCAGAGCGACTCTGTATAGGGGTTCCTAGGAGTGGCTGGTGAGTTTGAACTGGTGACCTTGCAGTTAAAACTGACCTTGAAGTCGAGTGCTTAGCCTATGGTGCCATATCAGAAGCGGTGAATTAATTAAATATTTCTCCAAATATAGCAGGCTGATTTTTAAGTTGATAATTTTGTATGGCCCGCGAGTAATGTTATAAATATCCAAATGGCCCTTGACAGAAACACACCCCTGCTATACAATATGACCCTTCTGTTGTTGCCGCTTCCTGTTTTTCTGAATTTCCTCTGCAGGAAGAAACTGGTTGTGGTTGGTGATGGGTCTCTCCTCTGCCAGTTTAATGAATGGAGATAAAAACAAAACAAAACAGTCCTTTAAGAAGGTGGGGGGAAAGTGGTAATTTCTTTTATCAAGGTTGGTTAGGGACTGCATACGTCAATTTTGTGGTCTTTTCCTGTCAAAAAAGCTCAAATCACCTTGCAGCAGTTATTTCTTGATTCATAAGGTATTGATAGGGACTGGTTTATATCTGCAGGTTGATATTTTGAACCTCTGTTGGCCAGTTCTTGGAAAATGTGACCTTTCAAGTTCAAATTTTAGAGAAGTAGACATTTAAGTAAGTGGATTGTGCTTATTAAATTTGAGGTGCCCTTCAGTTTCTAGAGTGCGTGACTGTTACAGGTCCTCTGGAATCACAGAGAAATAAGACTTGGGGAAGATGAACACTCACCAGCTCAGGTCACTTTGCATCCTTCTGACTCCTGTATTTTCTTACTGTAGGAGGAGCCCCTGGTGCAATCAAGGAAAGTGTTATGTGCTGACCTCCCTGAAGACTTTCTAAGGAGCGAAGGTATTTTTATTTCTCTCAAATAGTTTCCTTTTGCCCACTTCTGATACATGCTGCTTCACTTCATAGTTTCTATTTTGTACTGGGAGTGTAAAGTGCCGGCACTGCCAGAGAGGCTTAGCCATAGAAATTCTTGCAGTTGCCCATGGATGTGCCTATAATGAAACATAGCCTTCTTTTTGACAAAAGGTTGCCTCTCCTTACTTTTTCTGCAAGGAGTCCCAATGGACAATGTGTTGTGAAGCCTTTTCTTTGATTTTATAAAACTCAACTACTGGTTTGGAAGGATTAACGTGGATGGGGCAAGAATTCATGTAACATATTTCAGTGCCACCAGAGGAGTGCATTCTGTTCTTGTTTTCAGAGGTAGGAATGGCAAAAAAATGTGTATTCCGGTCATGTTAATCATTTTCTAACTAGTTCATTCCTATTGTCTAATTTCCTCCCCCTCAAAATAATAGTTGAATTCAGGCATCTGAGATACCTTTAGTTTGCTTGCGGACTTAAAGAGAAAGAGCGTGGCTGAGCCAAGACTCCCACATCCTCCCAAGGCTCCTGATTTCTAGTCTAGCCCTTTATCCTGTATTTTTATTTTATAATTTATCCTTTTATAAAAATAATTATAGGTTCAGAGAGGACTGTATGTATTATACAGTTAAGGTTACTATTATAGAATTATCAGTGTCTTAAGAAAGGAAGAAGATCAAGCAAACAAGTCCAATTATATGGGCATTTTTTACTGGGATAGAACATCAAATTTGGCTCTCAGCTTCCTGGCAGCTGAATCGAATATGGAGTACAGATCGTACTTCGAAGAAAGGATACTTGTTCAGTTTGTCACCCTGCTTCCTCCTGCCTTCGTTTTTCTCTCTGTCTCTGAGACTTCGTTCACTGCCTGGTGTGGATTAAAGGACCTTGCTCTGTAGATGAAACGGTGGAGTTTTGTATGTCTGCCTTATCTAGTACTTGAGGGTCTTACTAAGGTTGCAGTGTAGACACCCTCCCCTCACCTCTGCACATACCTCCCTGAGATCTTTTTAGCAGGACTCCAGTGTTGCTAGTGTAAAAATGGCACAGCATCATAGTCAGACATCCTCTTAATTTCAGGAGTGGTGTGCAGGTGCAGGAGAGTCAAGATCAACATCGGCTTCAAGCTGGTTCCTATGAGGAGGAGGTCAAACTTACCTCCTTTTCCCAACCTTTTGACCAGTTCTGACCCCAGCTGTCTCTCCCATGGCACTCATTACTTCTCTGTGAGTTGGATAATTTGTTGCTATGGCCACTGAGATCTCACGGACCATACTCACAGTTACTAGATTTCTCAGGGAAGTAACAAGTAACAACCAGGATCAGGAACAACTCAAATTGTACTTCTTTGACCAGAACAGCCCCCAGACAGCTCTCTGTCTCTCTTGGCCCATCGGCCTTGCTGCTGCCCTGGTTGGACGAGTATTCAATGGCTCTTTTGCTCTGTTAGCAAGTACCTGAAGACCCCCGAGTCTGCCAGCAAACCTCCTGTACAAGAGTGTTCTGCTTTCTTGCACAACAGCTCCATGGGTTGGCTGTCCTGCCATAGCTGCCTCACTCCATGGGCCAGGAAGCCCACTACACTGTCTCATGCCAGTCTTCTGACTCTGCTGCCTCTGTTCTCTCCCGCTGCTTCTTACCATCTTTAGTTTTCTCGGGCTCTACAGCCCTCTTATGTCTCCTGGGCCTATGAGACCCTGAGTCCAAAGATGTTCTTTTCTCACAGCTCTTAGTCTTGGTGTTAGTGAGGTATCCATTCTCTGTTTCTAGGATTGGTTCCCTTTAAACCTAGCAGGCTGGCAAAACTGACCAGTCATTTCTTTAAGGTTCAATATAAATTATTTGCATGATTTCCGGCACCATATGATAAGCACTGGACTGCAAGGTTTTTTGAATTACAAGGTCGGTGGTTCAAACTCACCAGCTGCTCTTTGGAAACCCTATACAGGGTCGCTATGAGTTGGAACTGACTTGAGGCCACTTGACAACCACAACATCTCCTCAAGGGAATCCTGGTGTGGTGCTGCAGGAAAAGCACTGGACTGCTGAACCACAAGGGCGGTGATTTAAATCTACCAGCCACTCATCAGAAACCCTTTACAGGGTCACTGTGTGTCAGAACCTACTCAGCAGCAATTAGCCTTTTTACTCTTTTTTTTTTTTCATTGTCAGCAGACTGTTCAATCCCTTTGGGCCACAAGCACCTGATTTGCATAGTCCCACCCAAGCATTCTGTAAGAGTCACATAGACTGTTTAGAATGGCCTTATTAAAGTAACTGGCTGTACCATTTATATTCAATTTTTGGTATATTTTGACCCTTACATGTAGTAAATATTTGTTTGCTAAAATTTCACATATAACACACCTGTGTAATTCATGTGCATATGCATACAATATGCATAGTGCTCAAGGGGTTGCATGGTTTACCCTTCAAGAAATATAACGTGCATTATTTGTGTAAAAATAAGGTAACCGCTGAGCTGACCTTTTGAACGGGAAAACTAGAGTTGTTTTCCACCTGGAACTCTTAGACCCATCTGGCTGCTCTCCATCCACCTAAAAAGTAGGTCCACAGGGACATGGATAAGATGCTCTTCCAGAAAGTGTCCTCAGATAAACTTTGTAGCTCTTCTCTTCTGGTCCTAATGTCATGCATTTTCTTTAATGACTTAAATTGATAAAATGTTTTGGTTTTCTTTTCTCACAGTCTTTCTCTCAATTTGTTATGAGGGAGCTAAAAAATGGCAGCTCTGCTGGAGTGTTCAGAGTGTTTAGCAGCAATGACCTAGCACCTAAGAAGTTGTCTGTTATTGCAGCCATTCACTATAGGAACCTCCCTGGTGTCCCCTGGTTGCACTTGAGGAAATAAGCTCAACTGTTCAAAGTCACATACCATAAGAACAAGGCTCTATGAAGGCAGGTGTGGAGGGAGCTGAGCCTGGGAACTCAAGCAATACATGCCACCAGCGCTACCTCCCTACCTCTCACGCCTTGTGAATTTGGATCAAATAGACACATGCTGTGTGGTAGCATGGCCAACATTGCTGCTTGCTTTGCCAAGGTGGAGCATGCACTACATTAGCATTTACTGTAGTATTGAGAAGCAAGGGATTCTTCTTGGAAATCTAGACATATTTATTCTCTCTGGAGTACCCAGCTACCAAAATTCTCTCACTACCCCTAGATCTTAGCTTTCTGTCCTGAGTATGGTTGCTGTTAAGTGCCGTCAAGTCCATTCGAATTCATAGTGACCATGTATAGGGTTTCCAAGGAGCCGCTGGTGGATTTGAATTGCTGACCTTGTGATTTGCATTTCAGTGCTGATTTTACAGTGTCACATCAGGAGTCCTTCCAAAGTATTAGATTTACTTTCTGGTAGCATAGTGGTTACGAATCGGGCTGCGAATCTTAAGGTCAGCGGTTCGAAACTACCAGCCGCTCCGCGGGAGAAAGATGAGGCTTTCTACTCCCGTAAGGATTTATATCCTCGGAAACCCTGTACAGGGTCTCTATGGGTCGGAACCGACTCAACGGCACTTAACAACAACAACAACCTTTGTTTAATAGTGTTTACTGTGTCTCTCACGGTTTAAAGTGCTTTTTATAGTTTTATTTACATTGTTAAGTGCTGTGGAGTCATTCTTCCTTAGAGTGACCTTGTATAGAGTTTCTGAGGTTTTAAATCCTTGCAAGAGCAAAAGCGTCATCTTTCTCTTGCGGAGCGTCTGGTGAGCTCCAATCACCAACCTTGTGGTTCATAGCCCCATGCTTATCCTACAGAGCCACCACACTCCCTTATTTATATTGTTTTGATTATTCTGAATGTGGTGATGGGGGAGACCGCAAAAGTCAGTACTAAATAATAATTTTAAATTTTGCTGAGGAATAAATTTGGATCTGAGTTTAGTAGGTGAATGTAGGCAATTATACTCTCAGTGGGGTTTTTTCCTTCTCTCTGTAAATCAGTATAAATATAAACTTGTCTTGTTAAACGTTCAGTAGGTAGTGTGTCACTCCTCTAATCTGGGAGTTGAGTTCAACCCTTACACGGGCACAGTACGTATAGACCGGGTGGCACTGTAAGTTAGGCATTAAGCTGCTAGTCGCACCACAGGACAAAAATGAAGCTGTCTGCTCCTATAAGATTTTACAATTTTGGAACCCATAAAAAGGGTAGCCGTGAGTCAGAATTGACATGATGCTGTGCGTTTGGTGTGGGGTTTTATATATAAATGTCTCATTCCCAGTATTCCCAAGTTCCCATGGTATTCTAGGATTTGGAGATGCTCTACATCTCCTGTGACTCAATTAGGTGAGATGAGAACAGGCTTAAGCCTTTACCAGACTTTATTGTTTTACAGAAAACCAAAAGCCCCTAGCTATGGAGTCAGTTCTACATTAATAGAACTGCCCCAAAGGATTTTCAAGGCTTCCTTGATAGAAGCAGATTTTCACATTTTTGCTCATAGAGCAGTGGTGGGTTCAAACCACCTACCTATTGGTCAGCAGCTGAGCACTAAACACTGTGCCACCAGGGCTTCTTGTGTTTTATAGAGGAGCCTATAAACAAAACCGAAACCAAAACCACTTCCAACTCATAGTGTTCCTACAGGACAAAGTAGAACTGCCATGTCTTTTTCAAATGAAGTGACTAGTGAGTTCAAATCTCCAACCTTTTGGTTAGCAGCCAAGTACTTTAACCACAGTACCACCAGAGCCCCTTGTGTGTTATGTTGTTGTTGTTAGGTACCATCATAGAGACCCTGTGCACAACAGAACGAAACACTGCCCAGTCCTGGGCCAACCTTGCAGTTGTTGCTACGCCTGAGTCCGTTGCTTCTACCACTGTGCCAGTCTATCTCCTTGGGGGTCTTCCTCTTTTCCTCCTACCCTCCAATTTACCAAACATGGTGTATTTCTCCAGTGACTGGTCCCTCCTGACAATGTATTTGAAGTATGAGAGACGAAAGTCTG